GATAGGCATATTAAAATGAGAATTTGGACAAGCTAACTATGAATTTATACTTTCATTATTACAAATTATCAATTCTGCTCTTTTCCTTCCTAACCAATACATGTTGGGTTTTATGTTAATGACATGATTTTAAATTCTTTTTCATGGAATGTTGGTGAGCATTTAAATGATAACCACTTTGGGGGGTAGGTATTTTTGTGCATTGAATTCTAGTTATTTTGCAGTAACAACTATAGCTGGTGGTTTATTATTTATGCTGTGCCAGACATTGTTAAAGAGACTTGGTTGATTTGTTCACTCTTCACAAAACCCTTTAAGGAAGATACTTCCCCCATATCAGGAAACTAAGGCACAGAGTAAAAGCTGTAAATGACAGAGCCAAGATATGAGCCCAGATTTAGTCCTTATATTTTTTAAAAACAATAGGTGAAGAGGTACCCCAATAAAATTGTGCTCAGTATCTGTAGAACTAGAAGGCCTGATGTTGGTTTGTTTTTGTCAATTTATTTTTACACCCAAACTATTTAACTTGAGAAGCTTATGCATTGTTTGTGAAATGGTATACCCAACAGAGTTTCACAAGGACCATATATACAGTTGCACTCTTAGTAAGATGATTCTACTGAGACCTGGTGAGGATTTTCACACAGTTTTAAGCTAAATGTGGATCATATTGTTAAGTTTCACAGTTGATGAGAACCTCCTGTGTATCTAGCACTGGGCTCTATTGGATAGAGTAGTTGTGTCAAGACTCAAGTGAAGGCTGACACTTCGCCTTTCTTTTTACTTAAGCTCTCTGCTTTTGCTTCTTTTTTTTTTTTTTTATAATAAGCCAAGTTAAGCAAGAAGAAAAGTGAGAGATAATGCTTCAGTGAGAAAGGACAGGTGCTACATAGAGTGTGAGCTATTAAGTTACAACCTAGGGAAAAGACCTGGGAACTACTGTACTATTCTCTTGAAAATTTGGCCCAGTAAGCTGCTACATCCAGTTCAACTAACAAAATCCTGTATACCACAGAGAAGAATAAAGAGAAAACCAAACTGACAAACATCCTTCTTTTATTTAAGACCAAACTGCAGCTGGAATACCCAGTACAGTTCTGCTTACTACACTTCAAGAAAGATCTGAAAGCGGAAAAAAGAACCAAAGAAGGGCAGTTCAAGCGACCAAAGGGTGGGTGGAAGGTGCTGCAGTATGAATACTGTACGAATATTGTGACTCTGGTCTGAAAAGATAAAAGAAGTATCAGAAATGGCATGGAATAATTGAAGCCCCTTCAAGTTTGAAAGTAAGCATTTTAGGACAAATAAAAGGAAATTCAACTTTGTACTTGTGGAAACTAATCCCTAAATATGAAGAGGTATATATATTGACTCATGGGTGGCAGATCCATGATAAGTTATTGGAAACTAGGATGTCTGAATATCAAGGAAGACAGCCATAGTCTCTAACAGTGCCTCTCTTGGTCTGTCTCAAACTAAATTGGATGGTAAAGGTATGATCCAATATAAAGTTTTTCTTGGTTATCTCTTAAAAGTCAGTTCCACTTATGCCAGTGTTGGCAGGTCTTGCCTTTGTTTGTTCCAGTGCCAGTATTTTCTGCTTAACTGTTTTGTTGGCATCTGAGTTATTTACTTATATACCATGTGCAGTTTACATCTAACCACTCCTTCCCAGGTTAATTCCACTTATACTTGACATCCAACCATGAGGGCCCATCTCTTTCTCACCTCTTGCCTAGACAGTATAGTATGTTCAACAGACATTTATTGAACCCTTACTGTGGGCAAAACATACTGGATAATTGGAGAATAGATAATTACTTAATTTGTGCTCACAATCTAGTGAATCATTACAGTTGGCCACATCTGGAAGGTGTGTTGTGGCGATACGTCATACCATTCATATCCTAATGTAATTATAAAACACAATATACTATCAAAGATAAGTAATTTTATGGTTGTCTGCCATTTTAAATTATCTATTTGTACCCCATAACTACAAATAATGAAGAAAACCTGTGATAAGCAGATTTATTGTGCAGTGGTTAAAATACTAGAGTAATACTAAATGGTTAACTCCTGGCTCAGTCAAACAAATAGATAATCCTCAAAATAACAAGTATTTAACTTTGTATTAAAGCAGACCCTGGGTGCTATAATTAAATTATTTTGAGGTGGACAGCTGTTACCCCATGGACTTAGTATGTTCTGTATTGGGAAAAAAAAAAGTTTACCAGATCAGACTTTTTAGTGATCTGCTTGTACATTTTATAGGGGACATATTCTGTGTGTATAGTTAATAACTTTATAGTGTAGTGTCGCAAAATGTTTTTGATTCCTTGTTAGGATATGAAGCTTGTTTATCATAACATTGATTCCATCACTTTTGAATTTTTGTTGTATTTTTGCCACATATTTAAACTGTCAAAATCTGAAATCTGGAAAGTGTAAAGCCTTTTATAACAAATTTTAAAATGTGGTAGGATTACACATAAATGAAGGGAGGTAAAATGAAGGTTATTTTATCTGTGTTAAAAACAAACATTTTTTAGTCTGCCAAAACTTAAAAAGGCAGCAAGTACCAGGTGAGAATTATAAATTTTGGCTTCATTTTTGTTGCTGTTTTTATTTTGAATCAAGTTGGAAATGCTTTTATAGTTTTATTTTCAAGGACACAATAAAAGTTGATAAAAACTGAATTTAGCATTTATTTCAAGATTATAAATAACTAAATGTATTTTATACTATTACACATAATCATTAGCATTGGATTGGTTTTAAAGATAGAGGTTCTGTGTATTAGCAGTTATCTGTGCAGTTCATGGGTATTTTGTTCTCTACCTCCCCTCTCCATTTCCTTTCTAATTGAACTTAAGGCCTTCCAGAGAAGAGAATTAAGTTGTATATTCACTTGAGGGTTTTGTTTTGTTTTTTTAAATTGTACTATTTGGGTTCCTTTGCTTAGGGGTTTCATTTGCCTGGAAATAACCTTGTTCATTTACAAATATACAATAACAGTACTTGACAGCTCTTAAGTGTGGTAAATTAGAAAGGACCCCTGTGGTTCGGGTAGCTATAGGGTTAAATTGCTTTAAGTCTGTCTACTGTGGTTTCCGTGTATATTAAAGGCTGTCAATATTACTAAGCACTTTCTATGCCAAGTTGTATGTTTTCCAGATATTCCTACTTAACCCTAAAATCAGTTGTCTTCTGTGGGATGCCCACCATGTGGACAGAAGTTTTTGCATACATACATTCATTCCTTACTACTTTCTAACTTTACTAGATAAAAAGTAGATTAAGTGTATTCCAAGATTTGTAGGCTGTTTGGAGCTTGGGCACTCAAAGCTGACTTTTCCAAATTTCAGTTTGAGTCTTTGTTGTGCTGCCCTTTAAAAAATAAAAATATTCCTTATAAGATCCTGAGATTAAAGACTGAAACTTGAGCAATAGCCAGGAATCAGGATCATCAAAGCCCTTAGATGTCCCAGAAAGGAAATGTTCTCAATTTTCGGTGATGACCTGATAGATGAATAAACAACTTGCCTTCAACTATTAGTTTCCCCAAGATAGTGTATTCATTGTGGAAGATGACTCTTTGCTCTTAAGTGTTTTTCTCTGTCTCTTCCTCCAACAGTGTTAATGTTTGTGTATTTGTAAAGCTGGTTCACCCTGTGTTAAAAGTGGAGGGATTTTTTTGTGGAGTTGGGATAAAAAGTTGAGGCATGTAAATTTCATTAGTAACAGTAGTTTGTAAAGAAGTAAAAAAAAGCCTTTGTAATCCAGGTGTTTTGCAGATCGCATTGCTTTGAATGCTGGAGACAGTAAAATAAACTGGTCTAGGTGCTTTAAAAAAAAAATTCTTGTTTTTTCTGTAGACTTTGTTGTACCTTACAGGTATGACTACTCCAGAGGACAGTTTCTTTTTTTGAGGTTTTAGAGCTATATTCTTTGATGTAGTCACTGCCCTTGAAAACAAAATTTAGAGCCATTTGAAATCCTCGTATATGTATTTTGTGCTTAATAGATTTAAAGTAAGGTTGTCGTGGAGATCATACTACACTGCCACCAAAATAACATAAAGCTTATTCAGTATGTGGCTACCAGACTTCATGAGTGCTTTTTTTATTTGTTGGTGTTTCTGCCTGCTCAGTAATGGGCTTACGGGTATGCTTTATTAGCATCTAAAGGATGAGGGGCATTTATTAAATCAATTTATAAAATGGCTAAATGTTTCAGTCCCAAACTAGAAATCCAGTTATTCCTGCATTCTAATGTATACATCGAAAACAAATGTATAGGCAGGGGCACAAGAAACATTTTGACATTAGCTTTGTTCGCAGAATTATACTAGGACATCAAATGATAATCCAGCCTTTTCCTCCAAATACTTCCTGAAGTTTGTATGAGAAAGTATGGCCTTCCTGTGGGATTGATCGAGTAATTTAAAGTGCCCTCACTCGATTGAAGTTGTGCAATTGCTGATTGCTTTGAGACAAGGTCTCCATGTAGCCCTAGCTGTCCTGGACCCTCAGACTTGTAGGCCTACACACTCTTAAAAATTTTTGCTAGTTTAAATCCTGATAATTTTCTGTAAATAATCATGGAATGGGGAAATTTTCCATTAAGCTTTTTTTTTTTTTTCCCTTCGAGACAGGGTTTCTCTGTGCCTTTGGAGGCTGTCCTGGAACAGCCTGCCTCTGTCTCTGGAGTGCTGGGACTAAAGGCATGTGCCACCATTAAACTGTCTTAAACTCAACATTTTTAAGGTTGCACAGGATTGGTTTCATTTTTTTTACCATTAGCGATTCGGGAAAGTAAGTTTACTATATGGCTGGGTATGGCGGCATACACCTTTAATGGAAGCATGCTACAGAGACCCTGCCTCAAAAGAAGGTCCAGTTTAACAAGCAGTAAGTAAGCAAAGCAGTAACCTCACAGGCCAACAGTCATATCCCAAGATTAGGTAGCCGAAAATCATTAAAATGAAAACAATCTACTGGGGAGGAAAGAAGTTTTATTTCTGAATTTTGCGATTCAAAACCAGATCATAATTATTTTATGGACTTGTCCTTTTGTATACTCAATGTTTGATTTCGGCAGTATTTGTTTTGAACTTAATTGGCGATTTTGCTTATAAGCCCTGAAAAGCAACTTGCTATTTGTACTTTGCATAAAGAATCCTGGGTCACTTAATCATTCTAGGATTTGATAAAGTCAAAATGAATCTTTGGATTTAAAAAGATGTAGAGAATCTTAAAATCTCCTTAAAAACAGGAAATGTTCTTAGCAGCTTAAAGCCTTTTGATATAAAATTTAACACAATTGATATACTGGCACTTAAGCACAAGGGCAATTAAAAAAAAAACTGGAGACCTTTAAAATTAGGCCATAGTATTAAAAAAAAAAGTTCATGGTCTTACATTCAGCAAATTGACACTAAAAAGTCTTTTGTAGAATAAAGGCCAGAAAACTTTACATATGTTACAAGATTACATGTATTTACATGGCTCTTTTCTTCCCTAGGTATTTTAATTTTCACATACACAACTCCCTGCAAAGCAAGCTTTGTAGGAGTTAGGCCAGATCACCTCAGCAGGTTTGTAAGGATGCTATCAACGTGTCCTTTGAAAGCTAGTCAATATTTTGAAAGAGATTTGGTACATAAATGCCTATCCACTGACTGCATTTAAGAAATGACCACGGGGCTATCTACCTAATTCTAATAAGCTACAAGTGCCTTTACACATTTGCCACAAATATATGTAGCTACTTACAAAGATGCCTATAATGTTACGGTTTGGGTCCCTAGAATATGTAACTCAACTGTGTACCTTGTTTGCAGTCTTTGTATATCTTAACTAAACACTGTCTTTTGTTTGGTTTCTTGTTAGACAATAAAGCTGGTTACTGATCCCCAAATCTAAGCTTCAATTTAGTTAGCAAGACTACCAAGTAGAATTAGTTAAATTATCCTGACACTACACACACTACATAAATGTTTGAGTATACTTGTAAATTAGCAGTTTTATATAAAACTTCCCTAAAGTCAAACCAACTGATGGCTATGTGAACATCACAAAATTTAAAAGTACTTAAGATTTTTAAACCTGTACTTTAAGTAGGGTTTTAAGTTGAAATGTCATTGTTTCCTTATCTGAAGGGTTCAATGAAACAGGAACCCAGTGGCTTGGTGGCTTGGGAAGAACACTTGGTGATGGTGGTTCACTAAATTTGGCTCCGGCATAGTTCTGGTTAGCTTGAGGCTTAAAAAGCAAGCTTGGGCTTGATAGGCTAGCATTCCAACTTGGGTTGTTGGCGAGGCTCTTGTTCTTGCCCCCATTCTGCATGGCCTGCCGCGCAGCTGCCGCCGGATTGTACCCGTGTCCTCTTTCTTTTTTCTTAGGAACCATCTTCATCTGGGAATTCTGATCCTTGGTCTTCTGTCTATTGTGCTGTTGTTGGTTCTTACTAACATTTCTAGATTGGGGGGCTGGAATGTTATACCTCTCTCCACCACCCATCTTCAGCTTCTTTGTCACCTGAAAATAAATAAATGTAAACTAGTAAAATTCCACATATCCTTTCTGAAGTTTCCATAGCTCCGATTCTAGAAATGTTAGTAAAGAAAACAAGGCTAGCTGTTAGGAGACAGACTTGCCCCACCAGAGCATTCACCTCAAAAATATTGAAGCAAGTCCTGAATCAAACACCAAAAACAAAAAAAATTTATTTTTGTGAAAGCTAAATAAAATTAGCGAGATCTAGTCGTTCTGTGTACAGCCTAAGAAAATGGCCCACACACTTAAATTCACCACCGCCCCTTTCAGGCAGGGTGGCCTTATACCAGACTGGCCTCCAACTTGTTTTGTTTTCGAGACAGGGTTTCTCTGTGGCTTTGGAGGCTGTCCTGGAACTAGCTCTTGGAGACCAGGCTGGTCTCGAACTCACAGAGATCCACCTACCTCTGCCTCCCGAGTGCTGGGATTAAAGGCGTGTGCCACCACTTCTCGGCCTGAGGTTTTTTTGGTTTTTAAGACAGGGTTTCTCTGTGGCTTTGGAGCCTATCCTGGCACTCGCTCAGACCAGGCTCTCAGAAATCCACCTGCCTCTGCCTCTGCCTCTGCCTCCGGAGTGCTGGGATTAAAGGTGTGCGCCACCGACGCCCGGCCCGGCCTCCAACTTTAGTTTTCCCCAGCCTCTTGAGTGCTAGGATTGCAGGCAGGGATAAAGCATGGCTACAGTCCTTAATGGGTTAGAAGTGCATCTATCATTCAATAGGATACCTTTCAGTCTCCTTTTCAGATCGCAGGGTTTCCACTCTGTGTCCTCTTCCCTGCTGCCACGCCCAGGATAAGAGATGTTGCTTTCTGCTAGATCCTTTTCTTTGTCTCAATACATAAGTTTTCATGAGCCAATCTGCTGATTTCAGCCTGGGAGCTGAGGCCAACATCGAGTCTCCTCAGCACACAAGTTTGAGAGAAGTCCTAGCTAGAAAAGGAAAGATAATTCTTGAAAACAACCCAAGAAAGTGATCGCTTAAACTTTCTACAGAAGTAAATGGCTACTTCAAGGCCTCTAGATGTATCAAACCGTGACTTTCTTTGATCTCATAAACGTCCACTTAACTCTTGGTGATGTCTACATTTTAAAGTCAAACTTAGGAAGCATTCGCTCCTGTGACCACACCAAGGAACTAGGGACCATGTTAAGTCCGGATTTTCTGCTTCCAACCCCACACGTTTCCACACCAATGCTCTTCCCAACAATGTACATTGCGCTTTAGGTTACGACTCTACACTCCGGGTCCCGAAACATGGTGACATTTTTAAGCACGCACGCACGCACGCACGCAAGCCTCCCTAAAGTGAACAGTCAAACTAGCAAATACACCCTCACAAGACTGAGAAAGCCTCCAATATTTTTGTCCCAAGGTCCGCACTCCCAGCCCGGGGCTCGCCGCCGATGCCCCAGGGCTCAGCTAGGGGGCCGCGCTGCCGACCCTGCTTCCTCTTCAGCGGGGCCCAACAATGGGGCCCGCGGTGGCCAACACGGCCGGCCCCGCCACACTCACCGACTTCGAGTTCGGGCGGCAGCGGCGACTCCCTCTCGACCTCCAAACCTCCCTCCCTTTCCAGGGAGAAACGATGCACCGATCAAACCTGCCCACCAGCAACTCACAGACCACAGTTCCGTCTTCAACCCAGCTCCTTCTACCTTTACCGACAAAATGGAGGCCGCTGTGAGCGCGGAAGAGGGCCGGCGCCTCGGCGGCCAATGAGGACGCAGCTCCGCGCGTCGCGGCCAATGAGGCGCCGGCCGCCGACTGTTGCTGGGGTCGGGGAGCGAGTGCGGGCAGGCTGTTGTGGTGGTTTGAAATCCTGCGGGAGGAGCATGTCGGGAGTAACTGCCCAGCCTCGGGAGCCGCGCTGCTGCGGGGCTCTCCGTGGGCCGCCGGCCTCCAGCTGCGCTCGCTGGTCACATAGCCACTTTTTATGGGTAGAAAATACTCAGCTGCCTCGGTGGCCAGGCCCCTGCCCAGCTGCCCTCAGTGGTTCGCCGCCCCGGGGCTGCAGTGGGTCGCCTCCCCACCCCGAGCCCCGCAGCCCTTCTGCACACGGCCGTCTTCACTCCTTCCGCGCCCCCCTCTCATCTAACTTGGGCTTTTCTGCTGGACCTGAACAGGCAACATCATCAGGGTCTGCTAAAAAGCAGCGCTGGCCGGTCCCTACTACATTTTTTTTTTTACCTTGTTTATTTTACTAAATAAAACGAGGGAGGAAAAAGATGCGGCTCAAGTATGACAGCAAGGCTCGGGGAAGAAAAAAGAGGGACACCTTTTGGTTTTTTGTTTTTGAAAAAGAAAAATACTATGTATCCCAAAATCAATGGTTTTAAAGGTGAACACTAAATTCTATAAATAATTCTGAGGGTAAGTGACCCAAATCTATCGGTTTGAGCTGGGTGTCGTGGCTCATTTTTGTAATCTCAGCTTCTCAATTTCCAGGTCAGTCCGGACTACACAGCAAAACTCTGTCTCAACGAAACAAAAACATTTCTTTGGCTCCAAATTGTGATGCAGTTGCCCCCAGAATTTTGCAACCCTGTACACATGTACCATGCGTGCTTACTCGGCACCCCACTCACACTAGATTTTTGCTTATTTCATTTCATCCTTAAAGCAATTTTAAGGGCAATGTGCTGTTTTGATCCCCATTGTACCAGGGAAGTATCTTGCAATTCAGAAAATCTCAGTGGTACTATGCTTCCAAGCATGATGCTGCAGTGACATTCCAGAGCAATTCATGTACGGTAGAGTGTTTATTTCCTCCCTGTGCCTAATAGGTGCTTGACCTAGAGAACACAGAGATTGTTGCTGACATTGCCAGGAGGTTGGGTAGCAGGAAGCCCATGTCTTGCCATCTGGCAGAACCCACTCTCTACAAGGTCAGAGTCAGACTGCCCTTGGGAGATCATGGTTCTGGCTTTCGCCATCTGTAGCTCATTAATAGCTACCAACAGCCACAAGAGCTCTGAACTAGGGACCATGTGTGAAAAAATAATGCCTCTTCAGAGAGAGAGAGAGAGAGAGTGCGCGTGCGTGCGTGCGTGCGTGCGTGTGTGCGTGCGAATAGGTGTCTGCATTGCATGCTTGCAGGGCCTGGGATGCCCGAAGAGGGCGCGCGATCCTGGGTAAGGCATTACAGATGACCATAATCTGCCATGTGGGTGCTGGTCCTCTGCAAAGCCACGAGTGTGCTTAACCACTAAGCCATCTCTTGGGTCTCCATACCAACCTTGTTTGTTTGTTTTTAGAGACAGGGTTTCTCTGTGTAGCTTTGGAGGCTGTCCTGGCACTCGATCTGTAGACCAGGGTGGAACTCACAGAGATCCACCTGCCTCTGCCTCCCGAGTGCTGGGATCAAAGGCGTGCGCCACCACCGCCCGGCCATATATATGTTTTTAATCCCAGCACTCGGGAGGCTGAGGCAGGCAGATCTCCCTGAGTTAAAGGTCAGCCTGATGTTCAGAGCGAGTTCCAGGATAGCTAGGACACAGAGAGAGACTCTGTCTCGAAAAACAAAAGAACAAAAATCAGTACCACAAACACAATCCAGTCACTGGTTCTCAGTTCAAGTAGAAAAGTGCTAGCCAGGCCTGGTGGCACACCTTTGATGCCAGGACAGCCAAGACTACACAGGGAAAGCCTGTCTTGGGGGGCATGGAGGAGGGAGGAGATGCTGATGCAAACCTCTCTGTGGATGCAGATCTCAATACAAGGGGCAAATAGTTAACAAAGGCAGCAGTGGTTTCTTTCTTTTTAAGTCCAGGTCTTACTATGTAGCCTTGGCTTGTCTTGAACTCACTGAGATCTGCCTACTTCTTGTCTCCTAGTGCTGGGACTAAAAGCTGGGTAGTTTTCTTCTTTTTAATTATTTGTATTTTATGTACATTGGTGTTTTGCCTGTGTGAAGTTGTCAGATCCCCTGGAACAGGAGTTATAGACAGTTGTGAGCTGCCATGTGGGTGTTGGGAATTGAACCTGGGTCCTCTAGAAGAGCAGCCAGTGCTCGCTCTCTCTCTCTCTCTCTTTTTTTTTTTTTTTTTTTTTTTGGAGGCAGGGGTTCAGACAGGGTTTCTCTGTGGCTTTGGAGGCTGTCCTGGAACTAGCTCTTGTAGACCAGGCTGGCCTTGAACTCACAGAGCTCTGCCTGCCTCTGCCTCCCAAGTGCTGGGATTAAAGATGTGTGCCACCACCACCAGGCTTGCAGCCAGTGCTCTTAACCCACTGAGCCATCTCTCTAGCCCCAAGGCTGGGTGTTTGATTTAAAACATTTATTTAACCAAAATTTATCCAGCTGGGCCCTTTGCCACACTTTAGGATTATAAAAGTAGATGGAGCCTTATCTATGCAAATGGAGCCCAAAAATCCTTTCTTAATTATCAGAGAAGGAAAGTGAAGTTTGTGGACACTCATCCTGTTTTTCTTCAGTGTCTAAAAACAGTCAATGCCAACTACAGACATAAACAACCTGCTCTTGTTAGGGAATTAGAAGTTAACCTGCCATTGCTAAGGAGGTTCAGGCTGAAGGTTTTCCCAAGTGAGAATCTTTTGTTTGTTTGTTTGTTTGTTTGTTTGTTTGTGACTGGGTTTCTCTGTGTAGCCCTGGCTGTCCTGGAACTGGATCTGTAGACCAAGCTGGCCTCGAACTCACAGAGATAAACCTGCCTCTGCCTCACAAGTGCTGGGATTAAAGGCATGCACCACCACTGCCCAGCGAATCTTTTCGTTCTAAACCAGTAAAAGTGTGTAGGTGGTGGTACTCGGTGGTAAAGTGTTAGTTGTGAAGTATATGGAGCTGAGTTCAGAACCTCTGGGCTCACATAGAAGTTTGTAACTGCCGTGGAGGTTAATCACTCACGAGCTGCAGTCTAGCCAGCGAGCCCCAAATTCAGTCAAAAAATGAAGTGGAGGACTCAGACCTGGTGGCAACACCTTTAACTCCAGCATTTGGGGGACAGAGGCCGGTGAATCTCTGAATTCCAGGCTCTAGCCAGGCTTAGTGAGAACCTGTGTCTTTTTGAGTAAAAAAAAAAAAAAAAAAAAAAAAAAAAAAAAGTGGGGCTGGCTCCTTAGCTGAGCTGGTATAGGAAAATAATGCCATAAGCCATCCAGGGATGTCAGCCTCTGACCTCAACAGGCACACCTGTGCCCAAACAGACACCACACACACAGTTTTGTAAATAGTCACCACCTAATCTAAATGGAAATAGAATGAGAAGAAACAGGACAGGCCAAGGGACTGCTGAGGTCTCAGATTCTGGAGGGCCGGGGGATTGGCATGGTCACCCTGTGGGCCACACCTTTACAAGTCTCTAGTCTACTAATTGGCTTGTAGACCGGTCGCTTAAAGCTGTTCTTTCTCTTTAAGTTTGTTTATATAAATTCGGGGACAGTTTGGATGTCTGCAGGCCTGAAGCTGATGTCTTATTTCAGTTTATCAGAAAATCCATACCTGCCAAAACCGTAACCGGAGCACCAGCCGGTGGGACTGGGAGATTCGGGGCTCTCACATGGTTACCAAACTGGTATGAAAACCCACACCTCCTTCGGCACGTACACCGCGAATTTGTTTCCTGGGGAAGTATCTGGGGCTGGTTGCACAAGTTCACACATTCCGGAGAACTTGCAAGTCTATTGTCAGCCATTCCAGTCATCTGATTCTAATTACCAAACACGGAGCACAGGAAGTCTGTGGGAAACTCCCATGGCTCTCACGATGCTCAGAGAGGGGTTCAGCCTGCAAGACCTTAAAGAACTTGGCTGCCTGAGCTACGGAATGCCACCCCACATTCAGGGTCTTGGGGGAAGGACCCATGAGTGTTCCAGTCCAGCTGAGTCCAGTGTCTCATTAGTACAGTCA